TGAACAACAAGAGATAAAAAACCAAAACAAAAACAATTTGCACCGGAACAAATTAAAGTAAAACTCACTTCCTGTCTGTTCTCATCACTTTGTCATTTTCTAAATCCCAAAGTGATCACGGGTCACGGAAAGGTGGAACAAGAGGTTTTACCTGCAGCAGAGCGACGTCCGCGGGCTGTCCGTCTCCTGCTCGAGTGGACCTGATGGGACAGAGTCAGGAATCGAAGTCCTGATGTCGAAACAGGGAAACAACAACAGGCGCCCCCTGCTGAAGAGGGAAGGAATTGTTTGGTCCAGTCGTTCTGTTTTTTCATTCATTCCTTTGCAGTTCCTATTAGTTTTCATTTACTGTTTCATTCATAGTTGAAATGGTTTAAATTCTGCTAGAATGGGTTTCATGGTTATCCTGTGGTGAGTGTTTTTTTTTTTTTTGGCGCCCCCTACTGGTTGCCTATAAAAGGAGGAAAAACTGCGGATTCCACACAGTCTGTTGGGCATTCTACTGTGGTAGGTCATCGAGTCCAGTTCCTTTCTGAACAGTAGTGGTGGTTGTGCTCTGAGACTAACGTGGAGTTTTGTTGCAGTCACCAGAACTGGTGGACCAGTAGGGAGGCTTACTGTGTTTTTCACTATTGACACTCATGACATATTATGTTAAATGTCAGAAATTTATGTTGTCAGTTATGTTGTCAGTTATTTTTCAGTTAAGTTTGTCAGTTTGTTTATTATGTTGTCGGTTTGCTATATTTGCCTGTCTGTCTGTTTCAGTTAGAGGTTACTGTTAAATAGTTTATTAGTTAAATTTGACTGCTGTCTATGTTTATTTTCCTGATTTTATTTATTTATAAGAGAAAGATTGTATGAATTTTATTTGAAAGTTGTGTTATCAATGAAAATCCACTATACGATCACCTGTTATAAAAATGTATTTGTAGTGATTATTTGTTTTTCACTATTGACACTCATTACCGAAATTCACCCAACTGGTCTCCGCTGTGTGCTGTATGTGGGGGAAAAAGTCACATATAAATATATATATATAAAATGAAATACAATGAACTACAGAGCAATAGCTCCCAATGACAAGGTGGCAATTAAACGTAGCTAAAATGCACAATATCAATAACGATAATAGTTAAAAACACATAAAAATTGTTCACAAATCACTGTGTATCATATGTCTAATATGTCAAAAAAATAATACTTGTAAAGAAGAGACAGAGCTGGTCCTTAAATACACACCCCCTTAAAAACATCCACAGGGAACTTTGTTTACAGGAGAGAGAAAGAGAGAGAGAGAGAGAAAACCTTTAATGGATCAACATCCTCATGAGAGTAACTCTGAGCCCAAACTGCATATTCACCCTGAAGATCCCATCGAAAGAGTCACCCAGCAGGTAGCGAACTGATGAAACCTGCTGAAATCTGCAGCAGGAACCTCCCCATCATCACTTTCTGGTCTCCGTCCAGCAATAACATTCTTTGGCTTCCAGTCTGTTTACAGTCTGCTGCTGAACGCGTGTCCTAACTCAAGTTGTTCAGACTTCAGCGACGCAAAAAGTGCATCTGGAGTAAACTGCTGCTGGACTTCCTTAGGTCTCGATGAGGCCGATGTCGAGAAATGCAGAGCCGGTGGGAAGAAGGAGCAAAATGCTTTTATTTGGTTTTGTGTTTCTTCCCATGAACCCTTTGAGATCGTTTGTCCTCCCACACCAAACACAGAGGAATGAGGAGTAGCAGCTTTCTGTTTTGACCTTTTAGAGTTTTTCATTTAGCTCTTGAGGCTTAATTACAACAAAGTTCTAGAAAAGTCCTATAAAAAGGTTGCGGTTGTTTATTACTTTCCATCAATGTCACCAAACAGAAGAGTGTTGATCAGGGGGCGGGGGGGCTATTAAAAGTTTCCATACGTCCCCCTTAAACCATTTCACTTTTTAAAGTTTTGAGAAGAAAAAAGTGCTGAAAGACAGTTTCCTATAACTCTTATGAGAGCTACAGACATTGATTCTTACTTTTGAAATGCTGTCAGTCTGCCCAGAACTGTAATGATGTCTCCTTGAGTGGGATGCTTCTCACATTTCTACCACCAGGTGGCAGCAGTGTAGTTTCCTGATCACTGCTTGCATTCCACTCTGCAGATGAAAAAGAAAAAAAAAATCATACCCACAAAACAAAACAGCAAATACTAATAATTATTATGCTTTCAAATTCTTTCAGACGTGTGTCTAAAAACTGCTTTTTAAAAAATATTAATTTATTACATTTTCTGAGCAATATCACATATAAAAAATATCTGAAGTGTTTTACAGACAGTGGTGCTGGTCATGCAGGTCCTGGCAACATTTAAAGGCTGGGGTTGAACGACCGTCTGGTCACCACCACTCACTTGTTTTCATGTCCATATAGGTCAGGATGATTGTCGGAGTATTAAACAGGAGAATTACACTGATAATAGGTGAAATAAGAAATGAGGCTCATATGTTTCAAATGATCCTCCTGCTCAAATTTCCCCATTAAGCACATTTGTTTCTTTTGAACCAATGTCAGCAAAGCATGAACTGGTTTCGACTGTTTATTCAGCTGCTCACATTTCTGTTTGCTTTCGTATGAAAATTTATTCCTGCGAAGACAAAACCCTACGCCAGAGGTCAACTAAAATGTTCAGTTTGCTCCTCGTAGTTTCCTTTGAATGCTCACTAGTAATACTTGGCGTTTTGTGGTGCATAAGTGACCGGGTCGCTGAGGGCAAAAACCTCTAGTGCACTGGCAACCCGTTTTGGAGACAACTTTGCAGAGGACAATAACCCTCCTGTGTCCCCCATGGCAATTAAATATATATATATGTATTTAATATTTGGCTGTGTTGAGGAAAATGCCATCAAATTTGGCCAGGTTATAATTTTGTGGTGAATTTGAACTTGCCATCCTTTCAAAATGTCATCTTTTGCTGCTCTACACAAGATTGGAGGCGTTATTTTATAAAAAAAAAAAAAAAAAAAAAATTGTGACACCCCTTATATTTATATATATGCCAAAAACATATTGTTAAAAAATGTAGTGGCGACAATAAACTGTCACTGGCAAACGGTTATACAGTTATAACCATAACCAAATATTGATGAAACTGACTTTGTGACTTAAGCAGTGATGTGTGCCGATATAATAAAACTGCAGCAGCACTATAAAGAACAAAGATACGTTCTAAAAGATTTTACAGGTTTCTATAAAAAAATTTTTTTGCTATATTTTTGTCTCCAGAGCTGTAAACTGAGAACCTGTGAACATTATCGCTGAAAGGTTTAAGTCATTCTGTCCAAAAAGTAAAACTAATGGATACATTACAGCACATATGTCAAAGTTAAGGCCCAAATTAACTATCTGTGGCCCCCAGGATGGTATTTAATCACTAGTAGAACTGGCCCGCAGGCCACAGCCGCCCGCTGGCGTTTTGCACGCACCAACACTACATTCCCCACAATGCAACAGTAGCCCGAGAAGCCGCTGAAGCGCGAGCGGCTTCAGGTCCTCAAAAATGGCCTCCTGGACGTTGAGAACTGAGGGTTTCAGGTCAGGTGGGAGGCAGACAGTGATGTCCACTTCTTTCAGTAACTTGTAATCTAAAGCGTTTCTATTTCAAATCATCTGTCAGACTACAGCTACTTATCGAAACCACTTTGCGTGACTATTTTTATTTGTCCCGCTGTGTCTTTGTTAATACATTACCTCTCAATGACGTCAAGCTTCCCCTTGCGCTCCAGAAAATAGCAAACATGGAGGCTAATAACAGAGCAATAAATGTGAAAACAACGACGAATGAACAAGTCCCTGAAGTTAATTACTATTAGAACGTCATTATAATTATTAATATTAATATAAGTGTGTGATGGAGGGTTTAACATCCTTCTTAGATTTGGACCACACAAAAACACGCACAAATTACTAAAGTGTTTTTGTACTGTTGTAACCATTAAATAATTGTTGATGTTACCATTATAAAATCACTTGCAATTAAGTTTTGCCAAAAATCAATGTGATTTTTCACAGGCAGCAGAGTGTAGTTGTTAGCAATCGCTGAAAGTAACTAAAACTTTTAATGTAACTTAGCTTCTTTCCGAATCAAGTAATAAAGTAACTAGTAACTAAGTCTAAGAAGGCATTATTAAACATACACAAAGACAAGATTATGAACTTCATAGAGCAGCACAATAATGCATTTTCAGTTTATAATGCACGCACTTTAATTTATGCATTTATTTTGATATTAAGAAAACATATTTTGTTTTTTAAAACAATTACATTTTTTGCTGTTTGCCTGTTGAAAATGTTTTCCCTTGAAATTACTGACAAAGCCATAAGAAAATATTGCTTTATTCATGTAATTATTAAATAATATACACTGTGTTAGGTCTTGGTTCAATAGACTACGTGCAATCATTTCAATATATTTGTTTTTTTGGCCCTTGCTGTGTTTGACTTCAACATCCCTGCGTTACAGCCAAGGGTTTATTTTACCTAATCTAGATGATTATGGCTCTCGCTCGCACAATTAAATGTATTTTAAGTCATTACGACTGGCATATTTTGTATTGAATCATAGAACAACAGTTACTATTCAGCTGAAGAACAGCTAAACCACTGGATGCATTCACTGAAAGCTTTAATGCCTTCCTGGCCTAATTGGACTCTAACGAAGTCTTGATGAGAAGCAGTTTCTGTATTAAAGTTGCTCTGAACTGAAACGCGCTTTTCACCCAATTGGTTGCTGAAACACTGGCGCTCATAACGCCACTCGGTTCATTACGAGTTCGCCTTCTTCTTGAAGAATCGAATGGTCACCGTTTAAATTTCCTGTGGACCCGCTGGCCACGTTTGGCAAATACACAGAGAGAGTGCAGGCTTTCTGCAAGGGAACTGTTTGTTCTGTGAGTTCACTGGCCTCCTTAGTACAGGAACCGATAGGACACTTACCTTCACACAAAGCAATTTGACCCTCAGGTCCAACCAAGCCCAAATAACACCATGTGACTCGGCTGCCAAGGTGAAGAGGGTGTCGACCTGGATCCACCTGAGAAACCGTCACAACCAGGAGGCGAGCGTCATCCCATCGGACTGTGGAGTTCATGCTTGCCTGGATTCTAAATCGTGCAGGAGAGAGAGATCCGATTGGGAACATACCTTGCTTGCGTTCTGTGAATTAATTCCAACTCGGAGTTTGGGTTTCATCCTCAGGCGTCCGCGGCTCATTTGGCCACCATGCCGACGGGATCTGTGAGGCTCAACAGCATAAAAAAACTGGGACAGGATAACCACAGCTATGATGTTTCAGACGAAGGTAATGTAATATACATATATAAATAAATTTTTTTTAATGACATCGACTATTGATCAAGTTGCAATAAATGCAAACAGAGTTAGATAGAAACTAAACAGAGTATTTCTTATATCTGTTCTGTGTTTGTGTTGCAGGACCACCAGGCCCCTATTTGTAAGTATTGCAGTCTGATAACACAAAAAAAACAAAATCTGGCAGCATCATGAAGTTGTTCCAGAGAATCGGACATTGCAACAAATAGACGATGGCATCTAAAACATCTCAAAACCGCAGCAGTCAAAGTCAATGTCTGAAAACATAAGGAATGACCTCAGTGTGTTCAAATTTGTCGCCACAGATCTGGCAAAAAATTTTTCATTTGTATTTGTCGTATTTTTGTCTTGAGCTGGTACAGTGGCTCTAAATTAGTGAAAAAAACAGAACTGGATGTTTAGACTGTACATTCAAATATCATCCATTTCACTTTGAACACAGACTTTCTTCTAAAATGTACCTTATTCCAGTCTGCCACTATGGATTGATTCCAATGATCAAGCAGATAAATTATTAACGCAACTTTTGCTGTAAGATTGCTGACAGAAACCATGCTCAAAGAATCAATGCGAGCTGATTTTAGATTTGTGATCTATGCCGCGATTTCCTGCATTTCGATTGGGTTTGGTAGAAGAAGGGACTCGGGTCCCCGGTGTTTCAAAGTATGCTGTTGTTGAAAAATCTCCTTTTTCAGGAGTCTAAAAGAGAACATAGTTTCTTAGCTGTTTGCAGAAAGGTCCAGAGAACAGAAAGGATTCAGGATACATTTTGTATTAAGGCCTCATTGTGCCGTAATCTAAAAGGGTTACCTGGGGGCAGTAACTCATTGTTCTCTTTGTTCCACGCAGGTCAATGACTAATTCAAAGGACAAGGAGAAGAAGTAAGTACTAAACGGCAGTAGATGCCATAAATTTCTAATTGCATCCGCTTCTTCAATAAAACAGTTGACCTCCCACTTTCCAACCAGGGTTCATGGAAACCAAGAGCAACCTGCGATCAGAGTCGGCTTCTTCCAGCTGGTAACAATTCTTCTGCTAGTTTTTTTTCCCCCCCAATTTTCTCCTTGTGAGATTCCCCCCTAAAACACAAAGCACGCTGTCGATGTTTTGCTGCCCAGTTCCGCTTTTCCACTTGCAAGGACGTGGCGATGATGGTCGTGGGCAGCCTGTGCGCCGTGCTGCACGGCTCGGCCCAGCCGCTGATGCTGCTGGTGTTCGGCCTGCTCACCGACACCTTCATCGAGTACGACATCGAGCTCAACGAGCTGAGGGACGACCGCAAGGAGTGCGTGGACAACGTCATCCGGTGGAAGAAGAACTACACCATGCTCCCAGACCCGGCTCTCAACCAGTCGGACGTAGGCTTCATCATCAACGCCACGATAGAGATGCTCTTTCCCCTCAGAAACATGTCATGTGGGTAAGTGGGCTGTAAAAATGCATGAGGTTGGCTCTTTGAACTGTGAATGCACTATGAAGATGTGGGGTTAAAAAAAAAAAAAAAAAGGTTTTCTGTCTATGTTTTACTAACTGGCTGTGCTGATTTTCAGGATTCTGGACATCGAACACGAGATGACCATGTTTGCTTTCTATTATGTTGGGATTGGAGTGTCTGTATTCTTGCTCGGATACTTTCAGGTTAGTGCTGAAACGTCACATCGTCACCGTGCTTCACTTAATGCTAGAATTACAACCGAAGCTGCCATCTTGAAATGATTTGACCCGATCAATTGTGAAATCGCTGAAAGAAACTAGATGTAGAAATATGCTAAATCTTGGACTGCTGATCTGCCTCAATAGAAGCTGAAGACGAGCTTTGAAAATCAATTTTTCCACATTAGCTTCCCATTCTGCAACCAGAAGTGACTTCCTGGTATTGTTTATTTTGCCTGCCTTAATATTAAAGCGAAAAATGAACATATTATATATTTGATTTACCAAACGTAAAAGTGACCTCCTTCCAATCCACTGACAGATCTCTCTGTGGGTGACAGCCGCTGCCAGACAGATTCAGCTCATCAGAAAAATGTACTTCAGCAAAGTGATGAGGATGGAGATCGGCTGGTTTGACTGCACCTCTGTCGGGGAGCTCAACACCCGCATGTCAGAGTGAGTCAGCGACGGACGGGTTGACTCGCTCCGGGGCCCGCAGCCCGGGCTCCCGACTGACCGACGCTCCTGTCCGTCCCAACAGTGACATAAACAAGATCAACGACGCCATCGCCGACCAGGTCGCCATATTCGTCCAGCGCTTCACCACGTTCGTGTGCGGCTTCAGCATTGGGTTCGTGAAGGGATGGAAGCTGACGCTCGTCATCATCGCCGCCAGTCCGCTGATCGGGGTTGGAGCGGGCCTCATGGCGCTGGTGAGAACCCAACCGCTCTTCGTTGAGTGTGGATGACCTTGACCTAATTAACCGGCACTTATCTTGACATTTCAACCTCACTTTGACTTGTAACAAGTACAATCTGGACTTCATTCAGTTTTTAAGAAAGAAGCTGAAGAGCTTTTCTATTGTGTCTTTTGTGTTCATTTTGGTATATTTCATAACTTTTATCATTTAATTTTTATTGCTATATATGCAAAATTTATCATATGATTAAATGATTACATTTCTATTGTGTATTTTTAATGAGAAGTAATGTTTTTTTATACTCCCGATCTCTAATGATGTACATATATCATATAAAATTTATCCATTTTCTAATTTAATGAAATTTGTCATTAGTTAGAAATGTCCAGTTTAGGCCTGCAGGGCAAAAAGTAAAGCCTCACTAATGGGGATACTAAACAAAACACAATTTATTGAACTGATTTTCCTTGGGAAAAAAATATGCTTTTACATTTACAGTACAATAGAGGAGGTTTAGATTTAGATGGACTATAAAACCCTCACATAACATGATGCAGAGAAAGTAAAAATGGCTTCGGGCTTAATCCTCTTATTGCACTAAAGTTGTAAAAAAAAAACAAATACATTTTTAGGCGCTGCAACTTGGTTTGTAAATGAATTTATGAAGGTTTATACTAGTCTCTGACTTTTTCAGTTGACCTCGCATATACATGCATATATGAGTGAGTTTCGGCCCTCTTTAATCAACTTTGCATCGATTTCCTGTGCAGTTCGTGGCCAAGCTGACAGGGATGGAGCTGCAGGCCTACGCCAAGGCCGGCGCTGTGGCCGACGAAGTCCTCTCTTCCATCAGGACCGTCGCTGCTTTCGGAGGGGAGAAAAAGGAAGTGGACAGGTGTGGATTGGGCGAGGGTGCAAAGCGAAGCTTTGGAAGCGTCGATTCTTTCCCGTGGAAATGAAGTCGAGCTTTTGTCATTTTCTGAAGGTATGACAGGAACCTGGTCTCGGCGCAGCGATGGGGCATCAGGAAGGGGATGATCATGGGTTTTTTCACTGGTTACATGTGGCTGATCATCTTCCTGTGTTACGCCCTCGCCTTCTGGTACGGCTCCACTCTGGTGATCGACACAGAGGAGTACACACCAGGAACGCTGCTGCAGGTACTTACGACTTAACACGCAATGCATGTCTTACAAGTCAGAGTTTTGTTAATACTATCTGGAAATGTAGAAAAAAAAAACGAACCAGCAAGACCTTTTGTTTGCTTTCAGGTTTTTTTCGGGGTGCTGGTTGCAGCCATGAATTTGGGTCAGGCCTCCCCGTGTTTGGAGTCGTTTGCAGCCGGACGCGGGGCTGCGACCATAATCTTTGAGACTATTGACCGGGTAGGATCGCTTCATGATTTACATTTTCCCCCTGAAAATGTTGCCGTAAATAATTGCCTCCTTACACATTTTTCATTACCTTGACTTGTCGTCCCAGGAGCCAGAAATTGACTGCATGTCAGAGGCTGGATACAAGCTGGACCGGGTCAAAGGAGATATTGAGTTTCATAATGTGACCTTCCACTATCCATCCAGACCGGAGGTTAAGGTAAAGTACTGCTTAAAATATATGAAAGCTTTATGCATTTTTTAGATTTTAAGCACACAAGGAAGCTCCAACTGAATAATTAAAGTAAAATAAATAGCCTATTTATTTATTTTTGCTTTGGAGAGAAGAAACTATTTATTTTTTAAATCCTAATTATGTTTACTCAGCTCTTATTATGCCATATAAAAAAATGTCAGTTTTAAAGAGGACGAGCTGCCCTGTTCATCCAACATTTTGTCTGAATCCGTAACACAAATATCCAACAACACCAACCCCTTAAGATTAGACTTCTGCAGTCAGCATATGTCTCGTTATGGAGCAAAGACCCGTCTGTGAGCAGATCCTGGACCAGCTCAGCGTGGCGGTGAAGTCGGGCGAGACCACCGCCTTCGTGGGGCCGAGCGGAGCGGGGAAGAGCACCGCCATCCAGCTCATTCAGCGCTTCTACGACCCTAAAGAAGGCATGGTAGGCGCAGGGCTTCGGTGTATCACACTCACATTGAACTGGTTCCCCCATTCTGCTCCCATCGCTTCTCCTGAGGCCGAAGCTTTCCTCGACACACACCTCCCTCCTTTTTCAGCTCTCAAAAAATAACCATCCCCTGAGGGTGACAGAGGTACATGATAATCCGTTTCATTATTCAGTTAATGGTTCCTAACAGTCTCATTTTTCACTTTTTAAAAGAACTGCACACCCTCACACACCCCGCCTTCCTCTTTTCCGGCCTATCAGAAAGGACATCGCTTTCTGAAGGTTCTCGAAGAGACTGACAACGACCATTGTCGCAAAGAAACAAAAACAAGGGCAGGAAGGGGGGAGCGTTCGCGTGGCACACTGCTTTAATAGCATCATCCATCAAGTTTAGCATCAGCTTCTGCTCACTGTCCCCCTTGTCCCAGGTGACGCTGGACGGTCACGACATCAAAGGCCTGAACATCCAATGGCTGCGCTCTCTGATTGGCATAGTGGAGCAGGAGCCCGTACTGTTTGCCACCACCATCGCGGAGAACATACGCTACGGTCGACCCGGCGTCTCCATGGCGGACATCATCACTGCTGCAAAGGAGGCGAACGCGTACAACTTCATCATGGACCTGCCGCAGGTTTGACACAGAAAAGAGAAACAGGAAGAAAAACTGAGAAAAAAAAAATCACACAAGTAAGGAAATAGTATTTTTTTGCAAAGTGAGTTTAAAAAGTGCAATTTTCTTCTTTTCTTAATTCCTGTAGAAATTTGACACCTTGGTGGGCGAGGGAGGGGGCCAGATGAGCGGAGGGCAGAAGCAGAGGATAGCCATCGCTCGGGCTTTGGTCAGGAACCCTCGCATCTTACTGCTGGACATGGCGACCTCCGCTTTGGACAACGAGAGTGAAGCTGTCGTTCAGGAAGCTCTGGATAAAGTACGTCTGCCTCACGCATGCGTTCCGCTGCCAGGTGACCCAGTTACAGTCGTGACATCTGAAATACTTTGGGGTTTCTTCCAGGTGCGCATGGGACGCACCACCATCTCCATCGCTCACCGACTGTCCACCATAAAGAACGCAGACGTAATTGTTGGCTTCGAGCATGGCCGGGCGGTGGAGAGGGGAAAACATAATGAACTGCTGGAGAGGAAGGGGGTGTACTTCACTCTCGTCACCCTGCAGAGCCAGGGAGACAAGGCTTTGAATGAGAAGGCCCGGAAAAGTGAGTTCAGCATGTTGAAGAGATCTGGCCACGACCGCTGCCAAACACTCAGAAAGTTTCTCTTTCAAAGCCAGAACTGACTACAATAGTACAAAGTCAACACAATTTCTTTGCTTTCAAAACATATTTGTCATGCAAATTTCCCTTGTGCACATGAGTTGACTTTAATAACCTTCTTGTTGTTAATAACCTTAATGACCTCTTTAATGACCTTAACTGCTCCATTCGTGACACTGACATTGTACTCTTCCTCTTAATCTCAGTGTCTATTAAGGAATAGCTGATCAGAGAGCCATGTTAAATGAATCACTTTCCTTTTTCCTGTCTTCTATTAGTGGCTGAGGGTGGCGAGCCGGAGCCCGAGAGGTTAAATCTATCCAGAGCAGGCAGCTATCGCGCCAGTTTAAGGTATTGTCCACTTTCTACATCGATTGCTCTTTCACTCACTTTGGATTCGCATCCATTTGCTCAGCTTTAAAAGTGCATCTAAAGTAGGACTGCTCCAGCTGTCTTTTTACAGCTGAGATCGACTGTGCCGCAGCAATCACCGTCACCGTAATTTAGTTAATTACCTTTTATATTTCCTTCGACATTTAGAGCGTTTAAGCTTACGCCGTCATCCAGAGCCGCTTAAATATCGTGGCGAGAGGAGAGACAGAGACGTAAAGGTTCCCCTTAATAAGTTCAATTACTCCATCAGTGCTGAGTGGTTACATTGTACAAAAACACCTGAATATGTAAGCGTGTGATAAGAGAAGGCCGTCTGAGACGATTTGTTTTGAGCAGAGCTTCGATCCGCCAGCGCTCCCGGTCCCAGCTTTCCAACCTGATCCCGGACTCCTCGGTTCCCGTCGCTGGAGACCTCGGCCCCAGAGCCTACTCCATGTCTCCGGAAGACAAATATAAGGTGCGTGGCGATATCGATGTTTAGCCTGGTCCATCCGTAGTCGGCCAGCGCAGCTCACCTGTGTGTGCCTGCAGAAATCCACGCCGGAGGAGGAGCAGGAGGAGCCGGTGGAACCTGCTCCAGTTGCCAGGATTTTAAAGTACAACGCCCCAGAGTGGCCCTACATGGTGTTTGGATCTCTGGGGGCTGCGATCAATGGAGGCGTTAACCCAGTCTATTCGCTGCTGTTCAGTCAAATCCTGGCGGTACGATCTGAGAGAAGACCAGCGAAGGCCGAAGTTGTTTTCATCATGGAGCATCTTTGCAGTTTGTGTTCTTGAAAGAACAGATTTTAATGTGTTTTCTTGTGTGAAAGACCAACACAAAGTAGTTGAAAATCTAAAAAGTGTGGCATGCCTTTTATTTTTTGCCCCTTTTCAAATGTCCCCTAATTTGCAGACGGCTGATCAGAACACTGAAGTTGTGTTTTGTGTGGCAGAAAACGAAAAGTATATCCACAGTTTAACATGGTGGTGGCAGCATCATGCTGGCAGGATGCTTTACTTTAGTTTGAAATATAGATTAAAACTAGGACAATCTGTTTTAGGTTGCTGAAGATTTGGAGAGAGATTCAAGTCCCAGTGCCCCTAAAGTTAAGTTAGAAGCAGATCAAAGTATATTCATGTGTTGGAATGGACCAGTCAAAGTCCAAACTGATCTAGAGTCAGCCATTTTGCAAAGAAGAAATGAACGCCAAAAATCGAGAAGTGCGAACCTGGGAGGGACAATTTCTGAGGGCTGAATAAAAATGTACGCCACACTTTTTAGATTAATACATGTAAAAAATATTAAAAATAATTAAAACATTACATTATTTTCCTTTTTCTTCACTATTAAGCACTTCTTTGTGTCGAGCTCTAGTAAGAGTAATAATATAAATTAAACACCAGACTTCTCGTGTCGACAAGAGCGTCCAGAGTGAATATTTCTTCTTCTTCTGCGCTGTTATGCTGTGTGTTTGCAGACCTTCTCTGTGACAGACCCCGACGCTCAGAGGAGAGAGATTAATGGAATCTGCGTGTTCTTCGCCATGGTCGGCGTCGTCTCCTTCTTCACCCAGATGCTGCAGGTAGAGCAGCAGTGCGCTCCGACAAGACTGATCGCTCCGCAGTTTTTCTTCTGCAAAAGAAGTCAGAACAGAACACTCTCGCGTTGATAAATGAATGCATTTATTGAATAAAAAAAAATAATAAAAAAGCTTCACCCCGTCTCCTTGGGAGGGAAATATCGAGTCCCCGGGAGTCTGTAAGTCAGAATAGAGGTTACACCATGTTCGATTCAATAAAAAGCGTTCCTGTCTGCGTGCGACTGCAGGGTTACGCGTTTGCCAAGTCCGGAGAGCTGCTGACCAGCAGGCTGCGGCGAATTGGGTTTCAGGCCATGCTGGGCCAGGAAATCGGTTGGTTTGACGATCACAGGAACAGCCCCGGAGCCCTGACCACACGCCTGGCGACCGACGCCTCGCAAGTGCAAGGGGTGAGTTGGAGCATTGGAAACAATAAATAGTGATTTACTGTTTTAAATACGGTAGTGATGCATTACAGCAACTGATTGCTTAATGTCACTTTTTGCTCAATTGTTGCCACTTAAGGAGTTTTGGCTAAAACGTATTTACAGATCAAGGTGTTTTTCTTCTTAAATGCAAAATGTATATCAATATATACTTTTGACTTAATTACTGCTTTGAATTTGTTGTATTTTTTTCAGCAAATACCCTTTTTTTTTGGTTTATCTGCACATTCCATTTAACGATTAATCGTTTACAAAATTAGTCAACGATTAATTCCGTAATCGATTCCTCACAATTGATCCGGTTAATGGTTTCAGCCGAAACGACTCGTCCAGTTTGAGTCGGTAATTCTAACCTTTCTGGATTCCTCTCCAGGCCACAGGCTCCCAGATCGGCATGATCGTCAACTCCCTGACCAACATCGGCGTGGCCGTCATCATGTCCTTCTACTTCAGCTGGAAGCTCACGCTGCTCATCCTCTGCTTCCTGCCCTTCATCGCGCTCTCCGGTGGCTTCCAGGCCAAGATGCTCACGGGTTTCGCCAAGCAGGACAAGCAGGCCATGGAGTCAGCCGGGCAGGTCAAAATAAATAAATACATATTTATATATGTACAGTTTTTTCACATGTAATTGGAACCTATTTGTCAGAATAGTCTGAAAATGTCATCATTCAGATAATACATGACAAGTCAACCAGTGTCATCACAGCAACCTTAGTAACCTTAAAGGTGTTGGCTGATATCTGCTGTCAAACCCACATTTGGCTGATAAGAGAAGACTTGACAGCAGCGTCTATTTTAAGCTCCATGTTGGAGCTTCTTCATAAAAAACAAAACCAAACATGTCTCACTTGTGAGCGGAAAAAGTGTTTCCTGAGCCTGAGCCACCCAAGCTTAAAGCTTAATGTGCCTGAAGGGAACAGAGTAAAACAAAAAAACATAACAATACAGTAAGAGTTCAAAAAAGTGTTCAAAAGTCAATTTACTGTGAACTTTCTTTGTGCCATGTTAATTACGCCAATGCAGCGAACCCCACCCATCCAAGTTAAGTGGATTAGATGAAAATTTAATGATCCCTGTGGGGGGAAAATTGGCTTACTGTGGTCTCAATAGGAGAGGATGCAGATAAGAACCGAGCCACTGCCTTATCTAGATCTCACTCTGCCTCACACATTAAAAGAAACGCCAAATTAGAAACGGCTCCTCCGCTCCGTCTGTCCTTTAATCTCTCCACTCTCCTCTTTTTTCTTTTATATTTTTTCATTTGCTTGGCAGATTTCAGGCGAGGCCTTGAACAACATCCGCACCATCGCCGGCCTGGGGAAGGAGCGCAGCTTCGTGGAGATGTACGAGGAGCACTTGACCGCGCCCTATCAGGCAGCCTTGCAGAAGGCCAACGTCTACGGCGCCTGCTACGGCTTCGCGCAGTGCGTGGTCTTCTTGACAAACGCCGCGTCCTTCAGGTTCGGAGGCTACCTGGTGGAACAAGAGGGGCTCCATTTCAGCTTGGTGTTCAGGTGGGAGACCTCCAAATATCAGTGAGCTTTCATTTTGTGAGTTAAATTAAGAGTCGTCGCATTGGAAAACAACTCTTTAAAGGACAGAGAAAAGAAACACAAGTCATGAATGTATTATTATTATTATTTTCCTAAAAAATGCGTGTTTAGTTTAAAGAATGGCCTAGTCAAAGTCCAAGTGGATTTTAATGGACCTCTTAAATTCTTAAGAATCTTAAATTATTTTGATCAACCCCAGAAGGTGGGAGATTGCAAGGTATTAACTCAAGAATACAAATACATTCTGCTTCCTTCATTCACGGTCATGAATGACGTTGATTAAATCCCTTTAAAAAGGTTGAAAATTACGATGTGCTGTTGTATTTTCAGTCATCAGAAAAATACTTGTCATGTTAGAAGTCTGAGTCACTAATAAAAAAAATAAATAAATGAGTAAAAATGTCATCCGAGATAAAACAACAAACAGATCACCGTTTGTCTCAGGGTGATCTCCGCCATCGTTACCAGCGGCACCGCTTTAGGCAGAGCCTCGTCTTACACTCCGGATTACGCCAAGGCCAAGATCTCGGCGGCGCGCTTCTTCCAGCTGCTGGACCGCGTGCCTCCAATCAGCGTCTACAGCAACAGGGGAGAAAAATGGGTATGGAGGCATGTTATTGTTCTGCGTTGCATCCCCACGGAGACAGCAAAAGCAGGCAGACTCGATGCAAGTCTTATCATCTACAGTTTGTTTTAGATCAGAGGAACGAAGTGTGTGGGTTTGTTGGAAGAGAGGAGCCAAAAAAACAACAACAACAAAAAAGTCACTTTATGAAACATAACCTTTGGGCTCTGTTTCCACTTTCTGTCATGTTAAGGATAACTTCCAGGGGAATCTTGACTTCATCGAGTGTAAGTTCACCTACCCCACCAGGCCCGACATCCAGGTCCTGAACGGCCTGAACGTCTCGGTGAAGCCTGGTCAGACGTTAGCCTTCGTGGGCAGCAGCGGCTGCGGGAAGAGCACCAGCGTCCAGCTGCTGGAGAGGTTCTACGATCCGGATGACGGCAAATTGGTGAGAAAAACCAGTGACATCTGACTACCGTCTGTCCACCAGTTTCATTGTGGGTACGGCGCCTCCAAAGGTATTCATAGCCACGAAACCTTCCCACATTTTTTCACGTTTTAACCTGCCACCACTTCACCACTACAGCTATTGCTGACCTTTTTTTAAATGCCACATTTTGAACTTTCAGACGACTTGTATTATCACTCTAATGAGGCTCATCATAACTGGAAATAACTCGCGATGTATCATATCAAGGAATAATTGCTGGACTTTCAGCGTGTGTGCTGATGGATGTGTTCCACGTTACTTCAGTCCACCCAGTGAGAAATGCTGAGTGAATCCTTTTTAAAATGTGTAGCCCTTGTTCCAGTGAGCTGTCTTTGTGCCAGGTAGAAATCTCTGCCAAGAATCAAACGGTCTTAATTGCGATGGAAATGGTATTGAAAGCATGATGCCTTAATTGTCCGTCTGATACTCAAAGAGGACGGAATCACCTCTGCGTAGATAGGAGCTAAATTACAGTAGAGATAGAGCTAAGATAGCTCATTATGCGGATTGTATTTCCAGTCCACGATCATTAAATCACTTTCTACTAATGGCAAAATCAATTTCCTTCCCGCAGCTGATTGACGGCCATGAGTCAACCCGCGTCAACGTGCCCTTCCTTCGTTCCAAGATCGGCATAGTTTCCCAAGAGCCCATTCTGTTCGACTGCAGCATTGCAGAAAACATCAAGTACGGCGACAACTCGCGGGAAATTGGCATGAACGAAGTCATCTCGGCCGCCAAGAAAGCCCAGCTTCATGACTTTGTGATGGCGCTCCCAGAGGTACTGTCGATTTTCAGTGTATGTGCTTTGGTGAACAGTGGGGTTGAGGTAACGGGTGTTCAGAAAAGTGATTAGCATTGAATGGCATTAGGAACCCATTGGGCAATAGGTGGGGGGTTCACCCTAGGTAGGTTTGCCAGAAACATATCCAGAATTACCTTTTTGCAATGAACTTTTGACCATGTAGAAAGAAGACCCAAGTCTTTGCATTAAGCACAGTGCTACACTATACCAGATACGATTCAAATCCCAGACACTAATGTTGCAAGAACGCATCAAGTTCCGCCATGTGAGACTTCAAAAACAGTACATAAAGCTAAGATTTAGAGTCAAAATGCTTGGATAATTCATCTCACAGCTGCTGGCTCCTTTTCCAGCTAACTTAAAAAGTGAAAACAGTTTATGCCATAGTTCTTGCCATGCTCACGTTCTTTGAGCAACTCAATGGGTGCAAGTGGTTTCTTCTAACAACACACAGCCATTTTCTTGCAGACTTATTCTGTTCCCTCCTCATAGAAATACGACACCAACGTGGGCTCCCAGGGTTCTCAGCTGTCTCGCGGTCAGAAACAGCGCATCGCCATCGCCAGGGCCATCATACGCGACCCCAAGATCCTGCTGCTGGACGAGGCCACCTCGGCTCTGGACACGGAGAGCGAGAAGGTAGGGCTTCGGTAAACCCAGGGGGCTCCGTTTCCCGCCAGCGCGGCGCAGCTGGCTCAGTGTTCTCCGGGCACCGCGAGCGAAAAGGGCAGGCAGTTAATTATTATCATCGTTAACATCATCATCATTCATCATGTCTATTATTATCCCAAGCTACTTACTGTACATCCCAGCCCTCTGGTGGAGCCTCTCTCGGATGAATATTATTTGTGGGCCTTTGCAGCAGCTTTTCATCTCAAAGGGTTGAACCATGCAGAGAGACCGCTCCACTGGAACATTCTAATGATAGTAATCAACACATGATTGTGAAATTGCTATAATTGTAATAGTTTTGTCTGCTTTGTGGGAGATTAGATGATGGCTCCTGCCTGCAAGTGTGTGTGTGTGTGTACGCCGTTTCGACACACGTCAATGTATTTGTATTTACATGCGTGTGCGTTTCGATGGCAATTACAGACCGTGCAGGAAGCCCTGGACAAAGCCAGAGAGGGACGGACGTGCATCGTCATCGCTCATCGCCTGTCCACCATTCAGAACTCGGACATCATCGCCGTCATGTCCAGGGGCTTCGTGATCGAGAAGGGGACACACGACCAGCTCATGGCCCTGAACGGGGCCTACTACAAGCTGGTGACGACGGGGGCGCCGATCAGTTAACTGGTCGCAGGCGCAGCAGGAAGTGCTCTCTTGGAGATAAGGACTGAGCGTGCCCAGCTTGACGTCGAGCAAACAAAAAGGGGTGGAGAAGCCAATTGTTGCGGTATTTATTGTGGAGTCTTGAGACGAAGATGGAGATTTCAGAGGAGGGAAATCAAGAGATGTTGTGATTCATTTGCAATGGAAGAATATATTTGTTGTTGTTTTTATTCTTTGCATTTCAGTGCGAGTCAATGTATCTTTTCAAGCCATTTTTGTGTAAGAATTTTAATTATTATTTTTTTTAAACTTTGGTTCCGTAAACATAACTTGACAGATTTGTGATGGATGATAATGAAAGTTATTAGAAAGTGAGATTTTAATTTTCTGTACAGCAAGTGCAAAAAAAGAAAGCATGGACTCATCATGACTCAGAATGGTTAAAATCAATGACAGAAAACCAGCCTACATACAGTTTTATTTTTCATTTATTATGTATTTGTTTGATACTGAATTAAAGCTTCGACCTGTCATGAACCTAGAATCAACAATCATAATCAGTTATGATTTAACTGATAATCAGTTACTGATTAACTGATTATCAATATATCTTAACTGCTCAACTGTCAGCACGGTTTGGTGCGCTTTATTATGTTTTCACACATATACAACACCAATTTTTATGTAGTAAAATTGGTACTATTTCAATTTTCTGAGACTGAAGTTTGGGTTTTTATGATGGGAGCCATAATCATTAAAATGACAAGAAACAAAAGCTTGAAATATTTCACTGTATTTGTAGTAAATCCTGATACCACACTAATCTAACTTCCAAAAAATATTCAACTGTTTCATGATGCACAATATTTTCTTAATATTAACTTATTTAATATTAATATTAAGAATATTAAATTCTTTGTGTGCTTTAATTTTTTTTAATTAAAGCACACAAACCTCTACGCCTGAACCAACTTGCTGACTGCTTCTGAAAGGCGCTGACTAAGTAAGATACACATTGAAAATAATTGCATTCAAATACTGACATTGTAGCGACAGAGCTGCAATAAAAGGCGGCACTTTATAAAGGCATGGCGCGGCTTTCTGCTGTGTGAAGATAAATGCTGGATGGCAGCATTTCAGGGCTAAGCCGCTCGAACAGCAGCCGCTCTCCCTCGCGCTTCTGTACGTAAACAACGGCATGACGGAGGAGCACGGTAGAATAACAGCTGCTTAAGAACTGACTCCCATCAGGCAGCCTGCTTCCACAGGTTGCGATGCCATCAGAGTGCAGGTGTCAGAGACACTCCATCAGTTAGCGGTAATATGTGATCACACCACACTGACCTCTAGGAAATTGAGTCTTTAATCACGACCACTCGAGATCCAGCCTCCCAGTGAATTAGCATTCCTGAGATGCGATCTCATCTGTCGGCTTTGACTGTGGGGGGACACTGTTTGACTTTGCGGCTTGTAATGTCGATTTGATTCTGATTGATGGAAACGGGCCCTGGAGGCTGACTGATGTCTCTGTTTTCAATGTGAAAATAGCAAGCAATGTCATTTAAAGCTAACGGCTAGTCTGAGACGAACTATAAATAATAAACTGAGTTCAAACTGTAAACTTAAATTACACCAATGTGGTTATTTTATGGACACAAACTGTAGTCCTGTTTGGACAGGATGATTATTTACACAGAAAAAGAAGGTTGGAGGCGGCGCGCCACCAATGGTCTTCCTGTGAGAAACATCGTCTCTGGTGAATTTAGATCCTCTAGTGCAGCCCCAATGCTTAACAACACTTTAGATTAATATGCATGTCATTTCCTGTTGCCACTACAAGACAAATATGTGAATAGGTACACACACCACTTTTATGTCCACTTTTAGTTAAAAATGAACAAAAGCTGACTTGGCAGCTTGCTCATGTTATAGCAATATTACCCCTGAAAAATGAATAAAAGTGGTTGGCTCTTGGTTCAACAGCTGCAAATGGGCCTTAGAATAATTTTGTGCAGCCACAATTGAAAAAATCACTACTGGACTTTTTGATGGTGTGTAAACATTTTAATTAAAGCACACAGACCTCTACGCCTGAACCAAACGATGATGTACATTATGGCTATGTGAAGACTTAAACAGAATCAGCTTTACTCGTCAGGTTTGTGCAAACAGAAATGGAATTAGACTTCAGTTTCATTTTGCTCATGACCACAGATGTCATGATGGTGCATTTGAAGTAGGGTGGGAAATGATTCTATTTCCTTTATTTCAAAGTAAGAGTCTCAAACATAGTCAGGGGGCGTAAAACACTTTCCTTCCTATCTAATTCGTATTATAATAGCATAAACTTCACCAGATAAATTTAAATGCTGATGGTGATTGGATAATGTGTCTTGAGACAGATTCCACCATAATGGTATGTTTTATATATCGTTAATAAGCTTAAATTTGACTTGTGAACACAAACTACCTTCTTATTGTCCTGAATTATTTTATCGATAATTAGTTTTGTCTATTCTCTCCTCCAGCAGAACATGAGCGGCCACCACATCCCCACTAATGAGTGGAAACTAATTGGCTCATGGGTCCATTAAATCATGTTTCAATCTGGAAACGTCCCCTTACAGCAGAGGAGACTTCCTGTGAGCGTTCACACGTCCTGGTTGGTCGGCAGGAGAAAAGGTACGTTTCATCTTTGATCTGTGGATGAGCCTCGGTTCAATCAGACTAAATGATTTTCCTGTTGTCGCCAGTGAAGTGTCCACTTCACTGGCGACAACAAATCACTTCTGAAAATACAATCCTGACCTTTGGGGGAAACAGAACGGGCGGCGCAGTGACAGGAACAGAATGAAACATGGCTGCAACCAAAAATGACGCTTAGCTTTGCATTTCATCTGTCTGTGTTTTTGTTCCACTCATGCGTTGACATGGCAGAGCATGTGCAATCAAGAGCAACATTAAAAAGTGTGGAGGGCGCATTCATTTTCACTGCATGGCACTCAGGCATGCTCTGACACAAAGAACCAAAGTGACAGGATTTCTTTGCTTTAGACTGGAAAATGGACGTTAGTTCCAAAAGAACATCATTTTTCAATGACGCATACTAATCGCTTTTATTACAGCAATAATTGTTATTGCTGCTGTTACTAAGTTAGATATTGATTTAAACTGATTGACTGTGATGATCTCAGCTGCTCATTGCTTTCCTAGGGAGGTCAGACTCTTGAAACTGTTCGTACCACTGAGCAAACGTTTCCCTAAGACTCCTCAGACTTTGTATCTGGTTCAGGATTGGCTTAATGTGTCTTCTGTTCTAGATATGTTGTGTTCTAGATACGTCTTGAAGATGTAATCTGTTCAACAATAATCTCACCACAAAGAAAATAATTGAAGGTAAGTAGAAGTGGATTTCTTTGCACTCAAAACAATTTGTCTTCGGAACAATTTTTCTTTTAGGATGAACAATGCGACTGGAGGCAGCAACCCAAATCTGAGGAAAGGCGGTCACGACCAAGGTCATGCTAATACAGCAACAGATGGCTCTGGCGGAGGTTGCGGCTTAATCTTCAAGGTGACAACAGGTGCTGTTGCTGAGTATAAAGTTTTTTAGGTTAGAAAATGTATTGTTTGTTTTTTGCTTTTAGTTTTTTGTTTATATAAAACATCTGCTAGCATCCCTAAATCTTATGAGATTAGATTTAGAAATGATTTCCATGATAAGTAGTTACAACAGCAATTTGTATTTCCTCAGTGTTTTTGCCAGCTGAAAAGAAGTATTTTAACTTCTATACCAACATTAGCATAAGTTTAAACAGATATTTAGTTTTTAAATCTCTATGTAGGGTGCCGATAGGATAATGGTCTCAGATAACATTTCTCCTGACTTCCATCTCCTTATTTGACAAATTTGATACCTTTGCATTGGTGTTAAAAACTTTGCTATCGCTACTGTTATTTTTGATGATTTTTGTATTATAGATTGATACTTTCGGGGCAACTTTCTAATGGCACTAATGACTATCAATATGCAACAAACAAGCATCTGGTTTACTATAAACAGCTCCTAAATTCACTTTACAGTGAATTTATTATGACTGTCATGTTCTCAGAATTCAAGAGATAAATAATCCTGATCATAAATGCGTCTCATAGATGATTATCACCGGGTTTTCTTGTTAAGATTCTTATTGAATGTGTGGCCTTGGGTCTATTCTGTCTCCATGACCCATTCTCAGTTGTTGAAGCAAAATATTTAAAGGTTTTATCTTTTTTTTTTTTAATTTGGCAAACTGTGAGGCAGGTAAGGTCATTTTTAAGGAGGTAATTTGTTCCTCTCCGTTCTGGTAGGTGGTACAAGACTCCGAGGGCAAAGTGCAATAGATTTTTTTTCTGTTTTGCACTCAAGCTGCCAAATCCTCCACCGCTGACTTCATCCTCTTCCTGTCAACACTTCATGGGAAGAAGCAAGAGAAAAGCTCCAGATCTCGAGGTATGGTGACAAACACAAACTAGTTATAAGGGTGACCTTTATACGGTGTCCCAGAAGGGTCAGCAAAAAGCAAAAGTCCATTGAGTGTGATCAGTTTCCTCTATCCAACATTGTTTTCTTCTCTGGTTTTATGCTCATTTATAAACGGCCGCATTTGCAGGTCGAAAATCAATAACGTGCATCAGTGTGTCGTATTTCTTCATAGCAAGCTCAGACAAACCAATTTCTTCTCCCCCACTGCTCTCAGTGAAAGAGAAAGCGATACAATCATAAGTATATTTGTTCTGATTCTCCCCTCACTTCACCTGTCAGCTTCCTGAAAAAAGTGAGTCAACAGAAGTCATGAGAGAAAACTGAACAACGTTGAGCCGGAACAAAAGAAGTCGTTTTGTTAAAGACTTCTGCAAAAAGGACATTAATTGTGAGGTTTTAATTGACTGATAATGACATGTTGTCTTATAAGTAAAGGTCATTGTGGACATTTGCACATTTACAGTCCAGTATGGCAAACTAGAAATAATTTAAAAGATTAATTAGATGAATGAAGTTACCAATTTTCGTTTTTCTAAGACATTAAGTCCGATTGGATCCCTACGAGTCTCACTGTTGACTAGCCACATAAGTTGTTAGCATCATCGTGAAGAAAAACTATGACAGTCAGATCCAGCTTGACTTTTTGAAAGAATTGTTATTTAAATATTTTTTAATGAAGTAGTTTTCATTCTCATAATGTGTGCCCACACTTGTTAGTCTGCGGTGTTTTCAGCAGACTTGCTATAAAAAAGACACCAAATGTTTCAATGATGTATTAATGTAGATAAATCCAAAGCGTTTTCCTGCTGATATTCATTTTGTGACTTTTAATTTCTTTTAAACCGCTAAAGTCAGCAAACCTGCTATTTTTTGAAAAACCTGCTATTTTATTCCCTCATTTTGAGCAAATGTATGGCAACATCACTGCAAGTAAGATGTCATATTACTGAGAACCACCTGCAGATCTCACTTCAAATAAATCCAGTTGTTGATTTTTAATTCTATGTTTGCCCAGCTGTATTCGATTTCTTGATAGAAATGTTGCGAAGGAGGTTTGCAGAATAATTTACTGAAAAATGACTTTTTATCTGGTCGCAGCAAAAATGTATGAAATAGAGCTGGATGCCTTTAACCATCTTTTTATTCTGTATAATAAGAGTGCTTGATAGAAGCATGGTGTGTGTTTTACGGGGGTATAATTGCTTTGCAGAGACTATTTGCATAGGTAATTAGTGGTGACAGACATTGGTCTTTTTCTGTTTTTAATCAGCCGCCTGAATGGCAATGAGGGGAGGAAATTGCTGAGAGTGATTGTGGACGACCCTCTTAATTTGTCACAAACATCCTGAGAAAAGTAAATACACAGAAAATGTATTAAAAAAATAACAAGTTATGCAATTAAACGCTTTGTAGCTTCTGTGTCGGCCAGAAAGTCGAATGAAAAAAAAATTGGATGGAAAATAGAGGAGTTTTTTGCTTACAGGGATTTTTGTAGAAACTTAACATGAAAGTGTCGACCAGGTTTGGTGATTCCTTCAGGGCAAGTCTCCTTCTTTTCCTGCCATCCAAATCAGTTTATTAATTTAAAAGCCACAAATCTGTTTTATAAGGATTTCATTTGTTTATATAGGAGAAAAAAGTGGAATTAAAACGATTAAATAACTGTGTCTGGATAGTGTTGGTAGTTTCCTTGGTAAAAGTACAAAGAATAAATAATTGTTTGATAGTTGTGTTAACACTGATACTATCTGATTCTGCGATTTTAAGCTTCAGTGTTTGTTCAACATACAACAGGACATAAAATAATTGTGACACTTCTTCATAACTGCAGTTTTCATCCTTTTTTATCCTTTGCAGTCAGATTAAGATTGATATATTGCACAGCTTTAGTTTCATGGATGGAAACTGAATTCAAATGCAAGTCAGTTTTCGGACTTTTCCATAATCACTAGAAAATAATGGTCATAGCATGACAGATTTAGAAATAAACTAAACAGATGCGAACGGTTTTGCAAGGAGTCGAAAGAGTTTCATAGAAATTGGATGTAGAATGTTTTGGGTCTTCAGTCGTCCAACAAAATGTTTTCGGCAGCGGTTTTAAACGTGCTTTAAGGTGTTAGATAAGTGTGTTGTTGTTGGGGCCATAAAGAAGGCCAGAGTTGCTCATTTGACTGGGTTTATCGCGTCCTGTGATTATCTCCCTTTAAACCCTCGCATTGTCTTTAATGCTACAGGCGAGGAAGAGTAACTGCCCTCCCGCCTTCGATAAAATACACGAAAAAGAAGGATGCTGACTTTTAACAGCCGCCCACCAGGGTTATGAGCTTTCCTCTTCTACTTCCCAAAGTTCCTGGCGTTTGACTGCCTTTAAATAAAACCACGCCATCTCTGTAGAGAGAATAATATGATCCATTTTCCCCCACATTCACTCACCGGCCCCAGACGGTGCACGCCTGGCCCCTTCGCATCAAGTCTAAATAACAGCAGCTATTAATCTCGCCGACACTTGAGGCCTGATTGGATTTTCCGCGCAGCTCGTCTTGACACACCGCAGGATTTCTCATCTATTCAGGCGTCACCTTGTCAGATATTTATTTATTTGCGCGCTGCATACCTGCATTCAGCACCTGGGAGCTGCGTGATGAATGGGGAAAAAGTGCTTATCAGTCGCCGGACGGTCTGGGGAGAGAGACGGGTGAAGGAAATGAGACAATTACAGGAGGTCAAGCAGAGCAAAACCTGGATGGAAATATGGAGCTAAAGCTGGTTTCAGTTGCAGTGTTTAATAATTATGTAATGTTGTTACAAGTTAAACTCCATGTTTAAGTCAGAGTTAGCCCTATTGTTGTGCCTGATAAGAAGCAGGAAGACTTTGTTGTCTATTTAGTCTTATCTGATAAGCCTCCGGTCACTAGGTGGCAGCAGTGTTCAAATTCAGCGTGGATCCTGAAAAAGTCTTAAATTAAAAGTAAATTGGCCTTAAAAGTGTTCCGTTTTCTGTCAGGCCAAAAAAAATTGAGTCATAGTCACAACATCGTTGTGTTGTGACTCACTGTTAGCATACCACTGCTAGCCAGCTTGTTTTGCATCTATCATGGCTAAGTGCAAATTTAGTCCCAGTTGGTCAGATGAAGTTCATATTTGGAGACACAGATCTTAAATCTTACTGTGTTAAGTGTAAAACAAAACAACAAAAATCCAGTGAATGATTTGACTTTCTCCTTTGAGCGTCTTATAGACCGATTAGTCTGGATTAAATGTTACTTATTGAGCTAATAAACTGAATTTGGACATTGTTTTGACACTGAAAGCAAAAAAATGAGCTCATTTTATTAATCTGTTTGATAATCAGGTTGCAGAATGCTGATAATTGCTTTTTACAGATACATTAAATATCAGATTTTTGATGGCACTTTTTGTGAGTAAATTACAGTCATTTACTTGAAAGATTTTCATAAACAAATCCATTGCATTCTGGACCATTTCATAAACAGTCTGTAGGAAAGGATATCATCAGATTGATGTCGTGAATCACGATACTGAAGTGTTTATATGTGAACGTGCAAGGTCAGCTTTTGTGTGCTCCACCACTTCACATTTGTAAGCTATTTGCTCGTCTCCAGTTATGAAACGTTAGTAAAATACATATGTAGGTATTTTCCCCTGAAACAATCTTGTGATTGCGTTTGAAAATAAAAACCCTTGTGTTTGTTGAATACACTGCATTTTGTGTCGACAAGTTCACAGACATGTCAGACAAAGACGATGTCGGGCTCTCTCTCTCTAAACCCAGAAATATCATGTCTGCGAAGCAAGCCTCATGGAAACGGCCTTGTTTTGAGTTTTTTTTGCATCCAGCGACATGTTTTCTTGTCAGCAACACGGAAGCAGCCAAAACAATCTCTCCTTCATCTGCCGAGGCTTTCCTAAAGCCGCGCGGAGCGAGCCGAATCAGACGGGAGGAAGCGGCAACTCAGTAGACGGAGGCTTAAGCCTGCCTCCGATTTTCAGAGAGGCAGTGGCGACACGTCTGGAGCTTCTGGGAGACGGATTTAGAGCCGGGATATAAAAACAAAACATAGAAGGGAAAGAGACAAAAAGCCAACAAGTTAAGAGGAAAATAGAGTTGGAAAGTATCGTAGCAGAAATGTGCACAGCTTGATGCGCAATGAGAGTTTCCCACACCACCTTGCAGTGGCTAATGACGGCTCTGTTGTAGCTCCATACGAGGCCTTCGTCTTCTTCATCACAGAGGTCAATAGTGACCTGAAGCAGAAACAAGAGCAATAAAACTCCTGGAAGCTAATCGGAGCCGGTCAGGGGCTAAAAAGATGCTTTTTTTGGTACTGGCCAGGAAAGGAGAAGTTTGGCGGTGGCAGCTGGATCTCTCCTGGTTCGGTGTTTTAAAAAATGGGGCTTATTGAGATCATGCTGGGAATTAAATGAGAACGTTCACACTGCTGCCTTATCTGCCAGTTCAGCGTTGCCACAGGAAACGCAACAAAGTGCCGGAGCCTGCCGTGAAAAATTTAAAGGCAGGAAATGGATAACTTTGAAATAAAGAGAATAGTCTCCCAGCAACTGCACTGCTTACTAATTATAGTGAGAATAATTGTGTTTGTTGATTCCAAAGACAAACTCAATTATTACAAAGCTTGGTGCTTGCAGAGCAAAACGCAGGCTCATTTTCCCGGGTCAGGAGGTTTATTCTTAGTCTTTGGTTACCAAATTCAGAAGAGTTTTGTTTTTCACCAAAATTTCTTCCAGAACATTGTTTGCATTCAGAGTGACCCAACCAGGACTTCCATTGAATTCAATTGAAATAACTTTATTTGTTCCCAAGGGGCAATTTCAGTTTACATGTTGCTCTAACTGTAGTTGCTGAGGTCAAGGGTCATTTCTGTCCACTGAAAAATGGCTAAAGTTCATTTTGTGATTTTTAGTTTTTGTGCTTATGTGCTGGATGT